ATATTTTTTACGTTTCAATATTGATCCATTAATAAATATATTCTACATTTTAACTATTGCTCTATTTTATCTCCTTTTCTGTACAATACTAACTGAATAAACTATTATTATTTCAGTAATATAAAAGTGAAAAGTGGCAAGCGTAAAATAATAATACAAGTTAATAAATACTTACATAATTTCAGTACATTATGATATATAACATACTGTATAACGGTTACTGTACAACGCACAGTTCGTATATAACACACAATTCTTTACAGTACTAACTCACGAAACGAAATGCACGTTTTGAAATGTTGCGGACATTTATATAGAGTCTAAATTGTACGCAGTACGATAAAATGACTAAATTAAACTTCGCATGATGATCACATGATTGTGTTGTGCGAAGCGAATAAAACCTATTTTTAGTACTAAACAGTAGTTGTTGATGTAATTCGATCTTCCTCTTTGGGCACGGGACTGTAAATAGTGTATGACTCATACATATGATATATGATTATATCATGATTATATTATATGATTTTAAAATATTATAATAACATTATAAATTGTAAACATTATACATTAAATATATGCAATTGTCTATATATTATTTTTTTTACAATTAATTACATTCCCCTACTTACAGTAACGTATCTAGCTACAGTATCCATCTACTTGAACGGCATGACGGTATAGCACGATATTATCACGACGTTTTCCAACTATTTAATCGAGACCACCTTATAATATTATATATGGATCGATTTGGTATGAAATGCTATACAATTTTTGTCCTTACAAAAATTTACAAATTTTGCAAAGATAATGAGTAGGGGAGGGGGTTCAAAAATTTGATGTTTTTGAAAAAATTTAATATATTGTTTCAAAGAACGTTAAATACTGTACAACTTTTGTAGGAAACATTTTTTCATATACCTTATATTTTAGGAAATATTCAATAAAAATGGAAAAGTCATTTTTTTTCAAGGGGCTGTTTCAACCCCTAAACTCAATATATGACCGATAAAAAAAAATACGACTGTCGACTATTTTTTGATGCTCTACAACATATCCAAAGCGCATCAAAATCGGGGGGGGGGGACAGTTCCGCAACTTTCCTTGTGAAATCGCGCGCGTTTTGCGTAAAAAATTCTAAGTGGAAACATCAGTTCTTTTTTTTTTAGATTTCCGATTCAATTATAGTATTACAAAGATAGTAATGTCAGATTAAAACATCGAAAAACATTAAACTGGAAGAAATGATCAAAATCATTTTGCAAATAACTACATAAACTTTAGAGATATTAAATAAAATAGACAGGCGAATCAACGCGTGTATTTGCTAGGTACGTTATAATATACTGTGAACACTGTAAGTATACATTTTATAAGTATAAATTGTAAGAACATCATTGGAGTCATTGGAACATCGCGTGTCGCTCGATCGTCAGGTTAAGCAACATAGTCAGGATGGATGGGTGACCACTTCGAATTTGAAATTTTCGAGGCAGTACTCATGAAAGTTTTAGCGTGTGTTTGACAATCTTCGGTTTCTAGCAGTTTATAAGACATAAAGAAAATTAGGAATTAGTTATTTTTATGAAACAATCTAGTGAGAAATGACTTATTGATCAACGTCGAAATGACGGTCTATTAGACATCGATAAGACGTCGAAATGACGGTCTATTAGAAATCTAAATGTGGACCGTTTTTAGGTCGATATAGATCTTAATTTAGATTAGACGTAGATGGTAGATAGACGTTTCATATAGACGTTTAGTAGACGTCAAATCGTAACCTTTCTCGCTGGAAAGACGTACAGATCTGTCTCGGTGTCGTCGTCGTCGTTTTCGTTTGTTTTCCTCGTAGCCGGGGTCGCGACCGATGTTCGCCTCGTCGTCGTAGTTATTGTCATCCTCGTTGTCGTCGCTGCCGGTGTCGTTGTTATTGTTCCGTAAAGTTGTTGAATGTTGAGTGTATCCTGTAGATTGAGTTCAGTCGGAAATGCAGGCCGTATTGGTGCGAATGCATACATCACCGAATCTGTGCGTTCACTGTGTGGTAATCCTAGAGTGTGGCTATTTCGTGTATCAATAGACGTGTGCAACAGACTGTATCTCTTTGAAGAATTTTTATTGATCTTGATATGCCATGCCTCCGCTTTGTCGATATGCATCTCTGACATATGATGGATACTCCCGGTGAGATAATTCGCTTGAGCGAGCACGCCGCTGGATCCGTCCAGCGGTGAGGGACATTCGATGCCGTTAGGCCACGCGAACGGGTGTATATCAGTTGGACACGGGGCAATTGGACACAGTCCAATCACAAGTCGCTGTTCCAAGGGACCCTACAAATGTCTCTAATCACACGGTGCTGTGATTGGCTGTGTCCAAATGCACCGTGTCCAAGTGCACCGCTCCCATCTTGATGATGCCATCCAAGGTATCCAACTAATAAAATCAGTAAATACAACTTTTTTAGACTCTACAATTTTTGTATTCAGCATTTTTTTCGAAAATACGTATTTTTCTAAATATTTAGGGGTTGCAAGACTTGTGGGACACACTGTATATTAATATATTTAAAAAAATGCTTTCAATACATATTTATAATTATTGAAAAAATGTAACTATTTAAAAACTAAATTTATTACTATTCACACAGTAATGAAATAATTATATTTTATTCCATAAAATAATACATTATGACTTTATAGTAATTTAATTTATAGTAATTTAAAATTTTTTCACTTATAAAAAAAATGAAATGACTCCCAGATGCACACAGTGACAGACGGACACATCTAATCATATGTTGTTATTTCTACAGACTCTAGAATGTCTTTGAGCACACGGCGTTGTTGTTGGTTATGTCCGTTTCGCAATGTGTGTATCTGGGACACTCTCTAAAAAATGTATATATAAATATTTATTAATTATTACAAATGTAATGCAGCGGTGTAATTAATAGTTGTGTTATAAGTTAATATACAGGGTGGCGCCAAACGTTCCAGTCAGGCTTAGAGATCTTATAGGAAATGTAATTCTGAACAAGAAATGTTCTATAAACATAGGTCGAAAAATGCTTCCTTAAGAAGTTACTGTCCAAAACCACGTTTTCTCTAAAATTATGTTTTTAAAAAACATTTTTTTTCAAATATCTAGGAAAGTATGCTTTTTTTTTAAAGTATGGAAACCAAAGTTGTAGAGTATTAAATTTTCTTCGACATGAGGCAAAAATATTTTTATTACGTTTCATAGATCTTGATATAACCTGTTTCAATTAACTGGTAATTAAGTTAAGCATTTTTCGACCCATGTTTATAGAAAATTTTTCGTTCAGAATTACATTTCCTACAAGATCTCTAAGCCTGCCTGGAACGTTTGGCGTCACTCTGTATATATGTTATAATTTAATTAATATACATATGTAATTTAGTACATTTCATTTTAAAACTGATTTTTTAAGGAGATTCTGGATATCCACTGCTACCATATCTCATGACATCAAAATTGAATCAGCCACTAGTCCAAGTGCTTTACAGATAATCATATTAAAGCACGATGCTCGGTAGAAAGAACTATAGGGATATTAAAAGGAAGATGGAGATGTTTACGTAAAGAAAGAGCTTTCATTACTCACCAGAATTTGCCGGTAAAAAAAATATTTTTATTTCAGAAAAATTGTATATATTTGAAGCTAAAATATTTTACTATGTATATTTCAGTACTTATAATAAATGCAACCTGTGTTTTGCATAACATTGCAAAGCAGTTTAACGTTCCGAATAATGAAATATACAGAGAAGATAATGTTGATGAGGAAGGTATAGAAGTAGAAATTCATTTACCTGCAAATATGCGTGCAAGAGGACAGGCAACACGCGAGGCAATAATTCAAAGGTTCTTTAACCAATAACCAATTTCTATAATTATTTATGTATATTTATATTATAGTCTACATTATTTATTATATTTTAAATAAAAAATACATGTTCTTTTGTGTTATATAAATAAAATTTCTAGGATAATACAAAGTTATTATTATTAAACAATGTTCTTTAGACAAAATAAAGTAAATATTCTATGAATATCACTTATATTGCATTTTTACCAATTAATAAATTCTCTACACGTATAACTCTTAATATATATCGTTTTTCTTAAGTTATATCTTCACATTTCTCATACTATAAATTCATTTGCAGACTCTGTTTGCAAAATGGACTTGATTTCTTTTAATTCGAACATAATATTTGGGAGCGGTGCACTTGGACACGGTGCATTTGGACACAGCCAATCACAGCACCGTGTGATTAGAGACATTTGTAGGGTCCCTTGGAACAGCGACTTGTCCAATTGCTGTTGATTGGACTGTGTCCAATTGCCCCGTGTCCAACTGATATACACCCTAATATTTTCTTGCACTTTTAAAGTTTTTTTTCTAATTTTTATTCCTTTTCTTTTTAGTTTTAATTTCATTTCTTGAATTTGCAACATGCTATATGATAAATGATGAATTGATTTTTCTGTAATTAAAAAAGTGTTATTAAATAATATATTAGATAATTTATTATAATATATATAATATGCTTTTCATTTAAGTTACCTTTTCTTGTATTATTTTCTGGTATGTTAACATTTTTTTTCCTTTTAGTAATATTTGGTGGTGTATTTTCAATATTATCATCAATTTCTACATGTGGCAATATATTCTGTTTTTCTATTACTTTGTCATGAGATGTAAACTGATTAATTTGAGATGTTGAACAACATTCTGATAAAGTCTGTGTCTCTTCTGCTGTCTCAAGTATTCCACCTTCTGGGATGTTTTGCAATCCAGCTGCTTCTGGTGTTAAAAATTCCAAAACTTCCTCTTCAAAACTAGACAGAAATATTTGAGGAGGAGGTCCACCTCCTGTCCCTTGTATATAACTACGTCGTCTTACTTCTTTTTTCAAAATATATGACTTCATATCTTTCCATGTCTGAAAAAATTGTCGATAATTAGCTATTATTTTTAAAATTAATAATAATTTAACCTTTGTATTTAACCTGGATACTCAGTGGAAGGAAATATTAACCTTTGCCCATTCTTGTCCACTTTTTTGAGGGCCTTCGTTACTTGCATTAATATGTTCAGTAATTTTATTCCACATATCATTCTAAACATATTAAAGTGTTATTTATTAAATAAAATATTATTTCTATCACACACATACATATTTATACATAAGCAGCAATTATTTTAATTTACCAATTTTCTTTTACTCTCATTTTTTCGGTTTACTCGACCTCTCACTAATTCCGCATGACTTTTCAAATTATTTATTAATATTTCTTTTTGTCTTGCCGTTACATTCATTATTCTTTGTTTATTATTTACTATACTTTACTTATATATGTATATATATATATATATATATATATATATATATATATAT